ACTGGTGAGTGGGTAGTAGCTGAGAACTGGCGACTGTGTAGTACAACCTTAGTATGCGGAGTAGGGGAGCTGGAAGATGAGAACTGGCGACCTGGTAGTACAACTTTAGTACGCAGAGTAGCTGGGGACTGGGAAGATGAGAACTGGCGACTGGGTAGTACAACTTTAGTATGGAGAGTAGCTGGGAAATGGGAAGAGGAGAACTGGCGAGTGGGTAGTAGCTGCGAACTGGCGACGGGGTAGTCTATTACTGTAGTGCGCGGAGTAGCTGGGGAGCTGGAAGATGAGAACTGGCGACTTGGTAGTACAACTAACACGTGCCTTTGACAACAGGCAGTGGAAGCCAGCTTGCTGGCTGACAACAGGCAGTGGAAGCCAGCTTGCTGGCTGCCATTGTCCAGATGGAAAGCCAGTACGTTGGCTACCATCATAGTTGAAGTGGGTAAGCCAGCACGCTGGCTGCCATGGTTGAGATGGCAAAGCCAGCACGCTGGCTAGCATCATAGTTGAAGTGGGTAAGCCAGCACGCTGGCTGCCATTGTCCAGATGGCAAAGCCAGCACGCTGGCTGCCATCATAGTTGCAGTGGGTATGAGCCAGCACGCTGGCTACCATCCCAATTGAAGTGGGTAAGCCAGCACGCTGGCTGCCATCATAGTTGAAGTGGGTAAGCCAGCACGCTGGCTGCCATTGTCCAGATGGCAAAGCCAGCACGCTGGCTGCCATCATAGTTGAAGTGGGTAAGCCAGCACGCTGGCTGCCATTGTCCCCTTACCAGCAGCCCAAATGCTCACGACGATGAGCTGGGCTGTCACCGCTTGGCCGCCGGTGGGGGGTTTGGGAGGCCGCATCGCACACAAACACCCACACACTCCCTCAACTTCCACGAACACACACATACGCAGACTCGTTTCCGCACGGACATAGACACACGCACAGAAACCCACACACTACCTCAACTCACTCGACTTAACACTTCTCACTACACACTTGCCGGATAACTCGCACTCTGATTTCCTACGCGATGAAAAATGCTTTCGGGCCACTCGTCGTCTAGTTTGATTCCATGGTTCTTTCATGATAAGCCCCCAGACATTTGTCTCCGCCGTTCTGCAGCTGCTGATTCGCGCGAGATTTCAAACAGATGGTCGAACATTTCAAGCGCTGTTGCTTACCCAGCCGCCGTGCGCTTCCCTCATCCCTTTCCTCGTGGATTCTGATACTGGTTGAAACCTTATCTAAGTGTGTTTCGCTGTGCTTTCTCACTGGGTGCGCAGAGTGATCCCCCGCAAGGGGGCGCTGAAGCCATCGTGAATCCAATTTGGATTCAGCGTCTTGCACTTTTGGATTCTGGTTTGAGTGGTGTCTCACCCATGAGTCAACCGACGCGATGCCGCCGGGCATACGGTTTACGCGCGCGTGTACACACACCAATTCCCACCTTTTTTTGCGCTTTCTTCGTTTGTTAGGTGTTCTTTCAGGATTGTCAGGTAGTTCTTGAGGCTCGTTTCCCTGCCCCTCGGCTTCTTGGTTCTTCTCCCTTGCCTGTTCGTTTCTCTTTCTAGGTCTGCTTTTGCGCTAGAGGTTTTTTAGGTCTGTAAACAGGTTTCTTCTTTTTTAGTCAAGTGCTAAGTGTTCAAGTCAAGGGCTAAGTAATCATGGATTCTACACATGAGCGCCGCAAAGCGGCAATTTGTGCGTGTCACACCCTGTACCTAAGGGGTTTTGAAATACTCTCCCCAACCGCAAGCAGGGGCGTCAGGCTCGATACACCTACCTGACGCAACGAAGCTCTGGTGTATTGAGGGATGGGTGGACTGATCATCTACATGTACCTGCTTCGTGACAACACACCAATGTTCCTTGCGTTTTTTTGACTCCATGGTTCTTTCATGATAAACCCCCAAACATTTGTCCCCGCCGTTCTGCAGCTGCTGATTCGCGCGAGAGGAACATTTCAAGTGCTGTTGCTGACCCAGCCGCCGTGCGTTTCCCTCATCCCTTTCCTCGTGGATTCTGATACTGGATGAAACCTTGTCTAAGTGTGTGAGTGTGTGTGTGTGTTTGTTCAGTGTAGATACGGACCTTTATGGAAAACACAATAGGTTGAAGATTGAGACTACTTGGCCTGATGGTTGAGTTGCGCTTATTTACACATTTGACTTTGATTCAACTGGTTCTTTTCATTTGCACCTTTTGTTGAATATTTGATGCAAACAGAAAATACTGTAGAATCAGCGCAATGCGTTCAAGGATTTTCGCTATCGTGGCATGAAATCCTTGGACCAGAAGGAACTATCCATCGCCTTTTGGTGAGCACTTGTCTATGCCACTTCATAGGTTGCTGATTTGTTGGACACTTACATCTACGTGTATATATATTATATGTATAGATTTCTGAGACTTGATTGGCAAAATAGACCCGGTCAACAAGTTCATGGCAATGAACACTTGGTGAATGCATCATTTCGTCCCATTATGTAGAAGGCAAAGAAAACAAATGTTCAATGAGGCTCGTATTGTGCAGCGGGACTTTCAATTTTCGCACGAGAAACGTGTGAAGGTCTTTAAAGCCTTTGACAAGGATGGCACCGGCGATGTGACAGCAGATGAGGCGCAATTGAAACATGTTTTCAAAAGACGAGGAGAGGTAGGGAGCACGAGGGTCGACTGGCCTAAGTAGGTCGAAGCTGGGTTGTACTGTAGCTGTGCGAGAAGTAGCTTCTTAGGGGATGGCCAGGGCTTAGCTTGTGATACCCTGACCCAGTCTCACCCTCAACAAATTGAACATCAGAGCGTTGGAACGTGACTGGAAGCTTGTATCAAGCAAAGTTTCTGACACCGAGATTTCTCACTTCTTTTGCTTGCTGCTTGAGGTTTTGGACTGTTTTGGTGACCACGGTCTTTCTTTCAAGAGAGAGGACTGAATAGAGAATTTGAAGTTCTCAGAGCTCAATTCTCCTTCTGCAGCAACCTTGCTTTTCCGTGCTTTATCTTGGTTTCTCTTTTGAAGTGAAGAAGGCATAGCACAAGCTCGCACCTCTTTTGCAGGACGATGAGACTCATTTCAGGATCCGGTTGAGGTGCAGTGGACGCGATCAATGATTGCAGTAGCTGGAATTAGCCTTGCACATCCATTCGGCTGCGCTTGCCAGGGACATGTTCCAAAAGAAGGGCAAGAACAACAGGTGCCTCGCAGCATCATTCTGGAGTCTTGAAACGGATTTCTTTTGCTAGAAAAGGAAAAAACATGAAAAAAGACACAGGGAAAAAGAGGTCTTAAAGAGCAAGGGAAAAAAAGAGAAAAGATCAGAACCGACGAACCGACCTCAAGAAAAAGAGACTTAAGAGAGCCGACCTTTCAAGCCGACCTATTGAGCGAGCAAAGGCTGGATCTCAATGGCTTCTGTTTTCACTTTGCTGAGCTCTTTAGGCACGCAATGAAGTGAATTTGTGTAAAGTAACCTGTGTAGTGTGAAATGGCTTACATATAATGTGCAGCAGGTGTTGTACAACAGGTGTTGTACCACAGGCGTTGTACACAGTTGTGCACAGCTTTTTGAATAGCTCCAGGAAGCTGATCGCTTGGTGACACTTTGCTATGAATTGCCAGTCGTTTGAGGTATCATTCTCCACAAACGGAAGACGAGGAGGAGCAGGATCAAAAAGCAACATGAATGCATGACAGGTTTTTATCAGAATAGTGAAATCCTAGAGTCCTAGAGCAGATAGTAGATGATACTTGATTAGCGCCTTGCATGGAAGGTGAGAGCTTGCTCTTAATTTTGAAGCCAAGTAGTTCAAAGGTACAGGCCTGCAAGAAACTTTTTGTGAGATGCACTTGACTCACTTGACATAGAGCGACGAGCGAGTGTGAATACGTGAATTGCTGCTCCTTGTTTGCAACTGACCGCTATGATTCGCGAGACAACGACAGTTTCAATTTGTGGGTTCTTCTTCGCAACTCGAGCAGTGCAAAGAAGTATTGCTATGCTGCTAGGCATTTGGTGGCACGACTTGGATATAATCTTGCAGTTTGCGGTCCCAAAGGATCTGCAGAGAAAATACTAAGCTTTTGTGGTTTCTTTAATTTTTGGAAGATGAGAATGACTTGTCAGAAATTCAATGCGATTCCTCAAAGGAAGTGCTCATCAATTCGGTTTCGGTTTGTCAATGTTTGTCATTTTGGGTCGCAAAAGTCGACGTTCGATGCTGTTCCGAAAGACATCGTTCGATGCTGACGCACGGGACACGTTTCATGGCGATGATATTCTCGCTTAATGAAATGAAGCCGAACGTGGAGAGAAGTGGCAAAGACCACCGACCCCTTTGAGCTTCAGGTGTACTTAGCAGATAACTGCAAGCTTGCACACTCTTTGCTCTGATTGGAGGTGAAATGCTTCCAAGGCATTCATAGTTACCACTGTCCAAAGCTGCTCCAGCGGCAGTGTGAAAACAAGCGTGGAAGCGTCTTTTTGAGTTTGTTGACCAGCGCTTGGTTCCAAACATCCATTTAGATTGGAAACTACTCCATGTTTCAGGTTGTTCGGGTTGATTGCAATGCGGAGCATTCATGAGCATTCTGCATGCTTCATTACAAAAGACGGACCAAATTGTTGAGTCTCTCTCGACCCTCTCTAGTTTTCAGTCTTTGTGCCCTCCCTAGTCACTCGAGGTCGAATGCTTTTCCTGCCATGCTTTGTTTGTCAGTTTGCCCGGACTTTTGCCTGGAGCTTTGCCAGTCTTGACAAGCATGACCCCAGCTTTGATGACCGATGAGAAACCGATGAGAGCGTTGTGAACTCGATGATACCCACTCAATCACCCCCTCAGCCCCCCGCCCCTAATTAATACAAATCACATGTCTCTTCTACGACAACTTTGTGGCGATGACAGTTTTGAAGAACGATGACAATGTCGTGCATGCGATGATGATTTTTGCGAAAGCAATGATGCTAAGGTGATGTTGTGAAGTTGATGACCAGAATGAAGTGAAGTGGGTGCAACAGCTTTAAAAGAACACTCAAACCATGCCCCAAAATCCGAAGTATGGTTCGGATTCAGTCTGTAAGCACAAACATGGAATGTAAAACCCTGCTCTTTTGTAAGGCAACTCTTGTGGTCTAGCCTGGACAGGTTTCAACCACATTTTGATCGACCTTGCTTTGATGTTTATATAAACTCTCTGAATTTCTGCGCACAAATCTGATGCTAGCTATGGAAAACATGTCGTCGCTGCACTTGATTGACATCCCTCTCTCTCTCTCTCTTTGTGTCCCTCTCTCTGTCCGGTTGCTCCCGACCTTGGTACCTGTACCTAGATGTCTCAAAAGCTGTTTCTTCGACCAGGTAAAGCGAAGAGCTCCAAGGGCTCAAAGAGCCCAGGCAGCCCAGCTCCAAAGAGCAAAGAAAAAGAGCTGAAAGGATCACCGTTGTCGACAACGCCGTTGTCGCCAAAGCGGCCCAACTCCAGGAACACCAGGCTGAGCATGGGAGACACCAGACGCATCGCCACATCAAAAAAAGTTTTTACAAGTCCTATGGCCGGCTGAACTGCGCACTCACATGATTCGAAAACCAAAAAGCGATGAACGACAACGAATTTAGTTTTTGGATGTTCTTGATTTCTGCAGGCGAAGACCTGTGCCAAAGGCCCCAGCACCATGTCACACCTCGGTGGTTTGTTGGCACGGCCTGTCTGGCCACTTCATTGGCTGCAGGCTTCCTGCAGAGTGACAACACCGCCGAGAGAGGGGGCTTAGACTGAGCAAAGAGGAGTGACACGATATGACCTTTGAGGGTGGACAGATGCATTTCTTGATGTGTTGAAGAGAAAGAGAGTACTGAAGTACACTGAGTCTCGATAATCAGGTCTAGGGTCTGCCTGAGGTCAATGCTGTAGGCTTGGCGAACTAAGGATCTTCCTCCAGGACTCCTGAGCCACCAGGTCCAGGTGGGTGCCAAACACAGCTTGGAACAAATGGTAGGTGATGGCAAGTGTGTTTTGCACACAGTGGCACGGAAAGAAAACGTTCCATGCTGCGCTAATGCCCCCCGAGCGTCTGGTGTGAGCAAGTCGAAATCAGTCGAAATGGCTCTACCACGGGACGAGTGCGACTTTTGATCCGGTAGCCACCTTCTCCCCCTTCTCCCTCGAGTATGCTCAGTGAAAGGTCGCATGTTTGTCGTCCTCCCCTACCGCTTTTAGTAGTAGGCTTGTCGTGGGCCACGGCCAAGTGGCAGCTGCGTTTGCTACCAGTCTTGGAAGTGATTGCTTCCTTCTTGATTCGCGGGCAGCTCGTTGCATGCGGCCTTGGCTGGGCCGCTCAACAATTTGACGCCATGTTTCTTGACTGGCACATCGGTGGCCCGCCAGACTTTGAGGTCTCGCTCAAAGTGTAGGTTTCTATGTCGCAATGAAAGGCTGGCGATGGATCCCTGTCCCGCCACCTTGGGATTTGCGCTCGGTTCCTCCCGGCCTGCGAGCCCTGCTGCCACTGTGTTTTATTGCAGACTGGCGCGGAAAGACAACGTGAGGCCCTCGAGTGTTTGGGGGGATGTGAGCAAAGGTATATAATTCAAGCAGCACGAGCCAGTGGCACTTCAGTCAGCAAGACAGCCCAGTCTAGCTTGAAAACATATGGTGCATTTGTGCCAGTTGCTACTGCGGAGCTTTTCCTGGAGGTGCCAGCTGCCAAAGCCTGTGCTGCATTTATTCTGAGTTGTTCTTTGCTCAGCTTTTTGACCGCGTGGTTTTGCAGGTCTTCTTGGAACTAAATGGAAGAGCCGAGGGCCAGGCGCTGCCCGGGGCAGCACGTTGCCAAATCTTGAGCACCACAAAGGGTTGATTAATGACAACTGTCGGGTGCTCAGTTCCACATTTGCAGGAGATGCGCCTGGAGATCCAAGTTTGTGAGGCAGCCGCTTTTACTCCGTGATGTGATCACAATTGTGAATCACGACTACTCACTTTGTTGGCTTGGTTGCATCGATCTTCATGTTGCTTTGCTTCACGCAGATGCCATCCCGGTCGCGGTTGCGATCGCTGCGCATTACGAACAGGCATGTACCGAAAAGTGTTCGCCACAAAAAGGGCAGGTTTGCCAACCTTTACCCATCGTTGCAATAACGAACTGCAGCAACTGTTGCGACAACTACGGCGTGTTTTATACATTACACAGATTCCAAAGTGTTTCGGGATTGATCATTGAATTGTTCTTGTGGGTAATCTTAGAGTCTTTTTTCATCTTTCGGAGCAAGTGCTGGTGTGTCTGGTGTATTCAAGCAACGTGTCGGCAGAGAATCGTAAATATGTTTCAGACTGTTGGGTCCCTTTGACACACTTGAACATTTAAACTCCTGCGGCAACGCTGTTTGCAGGCAAGGCTCGGTGGGCAACGTTGTTCTGGAGGCACCTCCCAGCAGAGCTGAGCCATCTAAGAAGGCAGCTTTTGGCTACAATGGCAGGGTTACTGTATATTTCGCAGCATGCGCTAGCTACACCTGCTGTAGCTGCCAGCGGCTGCTAGCAACAAGTCATGACAATGGTTCCTATCGTTCCCGTCAAGGTACATCGACTACGAAGGGCTGAGCTGTGCATGGCTTTGGTAAAGGCGACTTGGATGCGGATGTGTAACTTACGAGATGTCCAGCCATGGTGCTTGATACTCTGGAGGTATTGTGGACAGGTGATTGTTTTGTGCCATCCAAAAAGCTGGGTAGTCAGTAGTTGTTCAGCGTTTGGGTGCAAGTTTATAGGCAGTTTGGGTACAGCTTGCATTTCTTGTCATTTGAGTGGTTTGCGGTGTTTGGTTTTGAAGCAGAAACAACATTGTTTCAGTGTGGCGGTGAGTTCCATCTTTGAACAGTGAGAGTTTAAGCACTGCATCAGCACACAAACACATCTGGGATAACTTTTCGGACGAACGGACGGAGTATGAAAACACGAAAGGCAAAACCAAAAAATGTATCACATGGCTCTCGCGCGGAAATTTTGAAAGCTGTCGCATCGTGGGCCTGCGGACACTTTAGTGCCCATGGCAGGAAAAAAAGTCACATCCCAGGCCGATATTTGACAATTTTTAAGGCCATGTTGGGCTCATGTAGTAACTTAGTAACAGTTTTGGAGTCTAAGTAAGTCCTGTCTCAGCCGATGCTGACGCATGTCGAGCCATGCCGTTCCATAGTGAAAAAGACACAGATTTCCGCCATTTTCCGCCAGTGTTCGATCCAGGTTCTATTTTTGACTGTATTGAATCAGTCTTCAAAAAAATGTAAAGAAAGAACATGCACGATTGCTCGTTTGACTTTGTGCATTTTTTTTGCGTCAAATCGTAAAACCATTTTGCGCTAGTTTGTAGATCAAGATAGCGACTTTGTTCTTCAATCAAAGCTACTTATATATATATATAAATACTGGGGGATCATGAAATCACGCCTCATGATTAGGCCATGCAAGTGGACATTAGATTCATTAGACGTCAGGCTCAGTTTTCAAAGATGTTCACTTTCACTCGTTTCCATGCTTTGCAGGACACTCATGAAAGTGACCGACCTCGTTTGGGATGGGATGAGAGCGAGGACTCTTTTTCGACACCTGCAAGACGCGCATTCTCTATTCATACAGTTGGGAAGTCGGCGACTCGAAGCACAGTAGACATGTACACTAATCGAAGCTGGTGACATCCAGTGAATAATGTGTCCAGCAAAAAGTCTTGGCTTCAGGTTGGAGGCCATAAATGTTAGGTTAGAGGCCATCGCTACTGTAGTAGGTTGAGGCCATCGCTCTCAGGTTTCTTTTGAAGCATATTTTTGGCAGGACTTCTCCATCCTTAGCCCAGATGGTGGGGCTTGCGGCTTGCGTTATTGAAACATGCATGTAGACTTCCACACTTTCAAAGGTTACGACTCCTCGGTGGAGTCTGTGATTTTTCCAAATTGCTGCTTTAACTTGGCCAGGTGAATATGCACTCTTAAAGCACGGCTGCCTTCGTGTAGAGAGTAGATGGCTTGTGAATCTCACACACACAGATCCCGGGTTTGTTTGCGATGAACTTTGAATCTGGAATAAGACCGCAGTATATCACGAAAGGTAGCCTGGTAAGGACTACCTTGAGTTTGCTTTGCGAAGCAAAGGGACTGGCTTGAGAGCTTGCTCGGGACTAAAGATTGGTAGATCAATGTCTAACACCC